CTCCACGTAGGCGAATGTTTCAATCAATTAGAATAAATATTTTCCTATGACAGTGGAGTACATTAGACTTACTCTTCAATTTCGAGTGAAAATGTTTACTTGACGATTTAGAGTGGAGAACTCTAATATGAACGCTTTATATGAACGAAAAGTCGAAGTTCATTCGAATTCGCGTAAATCGATGGTTATTCTACTTCTTGAGTGAAATTTAGGGAATAATACGGTCAGTGTCAATAGAAGAAACATAGCCAAAAATCCGACCAACTTTCGCAAGCTGCTGCACGAAAAGAATAGTTTTTTTTCACATAAATTCTTTTCAGTTTTATTGTGTTTTTAGTAACGCAGAAATAGACTGTCAGTGAGATCCATCTCACTAAAGCACATAGCAAATTTCACTAAAAATAACAAATTTTTGAATAAGACATTTTAGTTCCAAAAATATAAGTTGTATGAACGTAACTATGGAATGAAAGGACAGAGTCGATTGCGGCAGAATGTCGATCTGCTCGTCGGTTACAAAATTCTACAGTATAACACTTGTACTAACAAATTCTCTCCGTGTAATATCTAAAACACGAGAATCAAGAATACGCCATTCTCGCGGAAGTTTTGCACGGTAGATTCCGACGGTGCGCAATCAACGTGCGAGTGACTTAATTGGTTTCTTCGTGTTCGCGCAAGATAACACGATTCTTGGGAAGGAGGAGGGAGCGTAAAAAGCTCTCGGAGCGAGAGCAAAGAATAAATAACTCGTCAAAGATGCACCGGGAATTGGCCTGAGGGGCGGATTTCTCGGCCATTATACCGGCGATAATTCCGCAAGTCCCATCCGTTCCGGCCGGGTCGTACGGGGCTATCGATATTCGAGCCGCGTCTTCGGCAGCCACAAATATCGACAGGCACGGAGATAACGCGAGCACACCTACTCCATTGTTCTTTGCGCCGCGAGAGCCTCTAATTACGGCGCCGGTTCGCTCGGGTTCGTTCTCGGCGTACCGCTTGATTTGCGTGGCCCACGAACCGACGGCGTTACGTTAATTACACGCGGACAGGTACACGGTTTTGCCGGACACGTCAATGCTTCATTAAGCCGGTGTACCCCCGGACACACGGTGCCCGGGCGGCGCGTATTCCGATGTCGAAGTTTCGGTCGTCGGCGATTAACGCCCACCGCACGGCGTACAACTTGCCAAACTGCGACGTTACGTCGCCGCGAAAATATGTATACTTTGTGCGGGAATCGCGAAATTTCTCTTGCCCGAAATGGAAATTCCGGATCAGGACAACGTGTGCGCAGCGGCGTAGTTTCTCACTGCTCGCCCTCTTCCACGTATCGATAATCCGGTGTACTGTAAAGTATATTATTTTTGAACACATAAGTGTTTGTAATTTGGCTGAAGCTCTTCTCACGCGTTTCTTGCGGTTCTAAATCACGTCACTTAGCATGTTCAAGTCGTGTAAGTTATGACTTATGTTTAAACACGTGCTAAATGAGGTGACTCAAATCGTAACAAAATATGTAAAAAGAAATCCAGCCAAAAGAACACACTTGGATTTGCAGTGTAATCAAAGGTAATATGTGGAAATTTTGCGACCTTTCTTCCATGAGCTTCCTTTTTCATCTTCCGGTCAGGATTAAATAAGTCTCTTACGCCAATCTTATACATCGTATACATTTAAAAAAATCATTTTAAAAACAAAAAAACAATTGATAAGCGTAACTGAGACATTTCATGAACATAATAGAAAGACATAAAATTGGCGAATCACGATTTTAAGCATGTATTAATAGTCGTGACTTGAAACTTGTCTCACGTGAGATATTCAGATTTTATTTCAGAGTTAGATCTAATTTTGACGGGAAAATGTACACGACGTTACATTTGCAATCGCTATTCCACTGAAAGACACACATTTGATTCCAAACTCACGCTTGAAAATCGCACTTGAAACAAGTTTCAAGTGATAATTATTAATATAAACCTTCGGAGATTCCAGACATTGCCCCTCCCGCTCATTTCCCACAATTGATTCGACCGATCTTACGATCGCCGTGCGATACCCGGGTCGTTACCGTAAATCTAACGAGGCGGCGGAAGCGCAGCTCGTCGCCCGCAATCGGGGGGAACAACGAGTTAACGCCCGCGTGCTCGCGCCACGATCTATTTCCGCCTTCGCGTAGAATTGATATTTCTGAATTACAGCCGGCTGGCGCGAGAGAGGATCGCGTTCACGGTGGCGTCGTCCCCGCGGGCCGTTTCGCCGTATTGCGGCTCGCAAAATCTACAACCGCCGTAGATTTTACGGCGGACGCGTCACGCACCTACGCGTGTACATTCACTCACTCACTCACTCACCAGGCCGCACGCGTGCAACGCGCTCACGCAGGTAACCGCGAACGGGCATTCATTGACCTGCGGTCGAAAGTGCGCTTCCGCTTCCGCGCGCCGTGGTTACGTCCCCGCGTTCGTTCGCTCGCTCGTCCCCGCGTTCCTCGCAATAACACCGCGGATTACCGCCGCGGAAACAAAAGACTTCGCGGTTGAATGCGGTACAACGAAGAGTTCGCTTCGAGGGCAGGAGGCCACCCCGGTCATTCTCGAGGATCGCTCGCGTGAGCTAACGTCGATTAGAGGGCAGACGTCGTTTAATTAAATCTCCCTTCTTCGTCTAGCGTCGCGAGCGGCTTATAAATTGGATTGTAATCTATTCTAAATGAGAGGCCAAGGCGAATCGTCAAGTTGAGCTCACTCAATCCAGACTGATGACGACGATGGAGAAAACGTAATTCCGCTGGCGATTTGTGAGAAGAATTTCACTTCCCTTCTTAGGTTTGTTATTAGGTTTTTAGGCCTCATTTGTGTCGATGGAAATCATCCGCAAAGGATAGTATAAAATCCAAACGTCATTATGTATTGTATCATAAAACACGTCAATTGACATGTGTCGCAAAGTGTCGGAGAACACCATTATCGTTATTGTGGAAAAAAAATTTGGTCAGAAGCGCGACGAACGCCATTGCTATGCGGAAGAGCAAATACCGCCCGGTCTCCCGAGAATCCGCAGTTTCGCGTCGCGGAGTTAACGCGCGCCAACGGGCTTGTACGCATTTATGACGGCGGCGCGAAGTACGCGGATGCAGTTACGCATCCGCCCGCCACCGGAATGGGCATTGCATGCACATTCGCGGCGTGCTCGGCAAATGAGCCTGTTCGGGAGATAGACGAGCGAGACAGCGGTGGAAGAGGGCGAATAAGGACGATACGCGTGTCCGGCTGGATCAGCGCGAGCCAGCGGGAGAATGAGGAGAATGAGGGTGGAGGATGGAGAGAACTTGCGGCAGTCTCATACTGCCACCCTCCCCTTCGCCCCAGCCAGCCTGGCCACGGGGTCGCCTCCCGTGACCTCTTTGTCCGGCCGCTAACGGTCTTTGTTCGAATCGTGTTTTCGGGTCAGCCTAGAATTCGCCGCTGAATTGCTGGGGCTCGCCGAGTTTCGGTGGCCGCGCCGCCACCGCGAAACCGGCACGGACGCCCGTGAAAACCAGCGATTTCGGTGACGCCGCCGCCGTTCCACGGCTGTTTCGCTCCGGGACGCGCGAGATCGAGTTTTAAGTCGACGAACCGTGAGAGTGGTGCGGTGGTCTATTTGGTCGCTTTGACCCGAAGCTTGGAATTAGTCGCGCTTGCTGGGCGATTTTTGGAGATCGCGTCTTGGCGAACCCGCGGAGACACGCGTGAGAAGAGTTCGCTTGGCCGATTGTCGTGATTAGTTGCATGGAGAAAACAGATCAAAGAATTAACGTATGAATGAGCTGAAAGAGTTCCAATTGAAGGAGACAGAATTTCTATCTCTTATATGGAGAGGACGTTCCTTTTCGTAAAAATTCTCTCCAATTTTACTATATTCTTTGTAGTCCAGGGATAGAATGTCAATAAGATCTAACTTGCTGAAAACATAATAAATTTCGCTGAAATGTTGTAATAGCACATTTCAGTTTCTAGAATATAAGGACATATGAAATGAAAGGATAGAATGAATTATACTGTAAAATGTCCATTTATTCCTCGGTTACAAAGTCACAGTAATTCTTACTATAAAATTCTTTTTGTGTAGTTTTTTTTTCTTTCGTGTAATTCGGTTTTAAGAACCAGGAATTCTAATTCCTTCAATCAAAAAGCATTTCGTTCATTATTATGTTAATTAAATGTTTTTCTCCATTCGTGCTTTATTCTTACGATACTATAATATTGCTACGAACTGTAGTCAGTAATCTCAGATGAAAAAATGGTTGCCATATCCGGAAATTCTGTTTCCATCTGTCGAAACGTGTCTGCTTCTCGTTCGTTGCCGCGTTAATTAAATATTTTTCTCGATTTGTATTTTGTCTTCGTGATACTATAATACTTTACTAAGAGCTGTAATCAGTAACCTCATATGGAAAAAAGAAATATTAGCTCTGTGGCGGCAAGAATCTGTGCGTGGCAGCTAAATCTCGTTGTAACATATGGATACCTGAAAGTATAGCTGCCAGTAGACATATATATTTAGTTATGAAACCGACGTAAAAGTTTCAGTTACAGCAACAGATATATTTCCAGCAAACCATGATTAACGGTAGTGAAATCCTTTCTCCGTGCAAATGAGAGGAATCGTAGCCACGTCCAGAAATTCTATTTCCTCCCATCAAAATATATCTGGTCCATCGCGTTAATTAAATGTTTTTCTCCATTTGTGCTTTGTCATCGCGGCAGTGTAACATTGCCTGTAATCAGTAATCTGAGACGAGAGGAATCATAGATAGGCACGTTCGCGTGAAATCAATAGTCGTACAGTAAAAAGCGTGACGCGCGGTTTGTAATTGCACGTGCTCGATCAGTTATTTACTACGGGGCTTATCGATAGGTATCGCGCGCGGCCGATACCGCGGATTCATCGGCGCGTTTATGCACTCGATAGATCTTTTACGATCCGCACTCCGATTTAAAAACAGGTGCGTCGCGGTGGCTTAGGCAGAACGTGTAGTGAAGATCGTACCGGCGCCTTCGGCCCAGACCACTCCTCGTCATGGCATCTCAAACGATTCGCGCTCTTCTGTTGCTGATGGTGGTTCAACTAAACTGCGAGACTTCGTGGGCCCAAGGATGGTCCCAAGGATGGCCCCAAGGATACCCATCGTCGCCACTGGGTCGTCCACCACGAGTTCAAATCACTCCGTATTCCACCACAGGTCTAATTGATCCTTTTAGTCGTCCTCCTCAACCCCCTCCACGATATCCACCCCCTCAACCCCCTCCACGATATCCACCTCCTCAACCCCCTCCACGATATCCACCCCCTCAACCCCCTCCACGCTATCCACCCCCTCAACCTCCTCAACCCCCTCAACGTCCTCAACCCCCTCAACGCCCTCAACCCCCTCAACGCCCTCAACGCCCCCGCCCGAAGAATCCGATCATTAAAGTGGTAGCGGGGCCTATCAGAGTGGTCGACCCGATAGATTACGAGCGATTAAAGGCCGCCGGCTATAATCGGCGACAGTGGGAACAGTCGGACGACTTCTACAGAGCAGGAGCGTGGCCGGAACATCACGATGTCGTTCGCGCTTTCCACGATGAACCGCCGTTCGTGTTCAACGGACAGTCCAGGCCTCCGATAGCTGACAGGTCAATCTACGACGACTATTCCGCACGGAATTTAAACGCTGCTGCCGAACCGTCGGTAGCTTATCGCGATCTCTTCGGCTTCGAGGACTTGCCGGACGATCTCGGACTACCTCGTTCAGCATTGGCATTTCTGCGCAACAAATGGCTATTCCCATTCGCATTTCACGTCAAAGGTTCGACGGTACTGAAGAGCACATCGGATCACGACGCAAAAACGAAGCAAAACAAGCTGCACCATCTTCCACTCTCTGAAGAGGCTCACGATAAGTATTCTTCGGACGAAGAGGCCGAAACGACCGATAAATGTCCCCAAGGAACAATGTTATCAGCGCATGATTATTGCGAGCCGATTGACGCCGCCGATCATGAGAACTCCATGGCCAACAGTGGAATAAAGCGAGAGAGCTACGACAACGACCTCGGTGATTACGACGATGACTCCTCCGTATCCGCCACGTGGAAGAAGGACAATCACGGTAGATCCACCAAGAATTGTCCGCCTGGAACGGAATTACTTGGCGGTCGTTGTAGAGAGATCTTCTAGCTTGCTGATTACAGCTTGCAGCAGTGTTATATTACACTAATATGTCGAAATTAGCGCGTCAGATCGCGATTAGAGAAGCGTCACGTGAACGAAGGAATTGGTTCAACACACTGTATTATTACATTTTATAATACAAGGTGGCTTGATAGGGCTTGATAAGGCTAATAATAACTTGTCGCGTCGGAACGAGTAGGCAATAAATATTATATCTAATATTTACCCACGACTCGTCTCGAATTAATAATCAATTATTAATATCTAATATTACCCTCTCGTAAAAATAAAAAATTGTATCCGGGCGTTAATAATGATTTGTTAGTAAAAAGCATTATTATCTATTATTTAATAATAGATTTAACAATGAACTATACTACAATTCAATCGTTATGATTGATTATTCTGTAGAAAAATACATACTGCATTCAAGTAAATATTACTTGTTTCAAGTATTTCATAAAAGTTTCTGCAATATATATCCGCAAATCTATTATAAGTTCATCGCAAACATGATATTTATTCAAAATGGATTATAAATCTTAGTAAGTTTAAAAAATCTCAATCAAGAATATTAAATTAAAACGAAAATTCAGTTTGCATACGAATGGAACCAATTTTTTCTTCGATAAACTTTTATAATATTCTTATATAAAGAATAAATTTTTCTTCTTTTCATTGTATAATAGATAATGAACTCTCTCTCTCTTCTCTCAAACTTATGACAAGTATATGTTGTGAGACTTACAATGTATTATCAAGAAACTATTCGTTGTTGAGGACAACCGTTACTTGAATGAAGAAAAGTAAATCGCGTAATCGTTTCTTTTAGCAGCAGAATGACATTTTTCTGTGTGCGCATTCACGCCACGCTTCGCTCATGACAAATGCTCAATACTGCCGCAGGATCGCGGCGAGATTAATTCGCGCTCATGGACGTATCCGTGCGTACACGCTGTTCCGCAAATTGCTCCACGAAACACGTCTTTCGCGCCATTACAGGATTTGCAGGTGAATTATAGAGGCCAGGTTTCCGTGAGAGAGCGCTCCCCGGCGAGAGCCGACGGTATCTGCGGACTAAACTGCCGAAAGGCGTCTTTATTACAACGGCAAGAGAGCCGGGAGCGCTGGATGGGACCGCGAGAATCGTGGTCCTGCTGTAGCAAGACGACGTGCTCGGTGATTGTCGTTAGACGGCGCAGGAAGTTTATAAAAACGAGCTCTCCTCGTAGAGTCGCTCGATTGAACTTGCCCGATTTCCCCAGATCCTTTTTCCCGGTCTTATTCTTCCGTCGGAACTTTCCCCGCGTATCCAGCATCCCGCATCCCCGTGGACTCCCTTGCCCGGATAAACAACACGTGTAATGCACTTGCTTGATCTCATTACACAGACGCTTTATACTACGCGGGAAATGGAAAAAAAGAAAGAGAGAGAGATATATGGAGATATATAGTTTAAGGAATTATAAATTAAGCTGATGCCAAAAAATTCATAGAATAATTGGATACTTTGCATCAATTGTGAATTTCGATTTTCCGTTAAGTAGCTTTCATAAATTTTAAGGATTTCTGAACATCAGGCGCTTCTCCTCGTCGGCTACACTGTGTGTGAGGAAATATCTAAAAAATAAATAACATTTATTTAACTAATGGCATGTATTTACTTAAATCGAGATTCTTTTATATAAATAAGATGAGCAATTGCTTTCATGAAAAGCTAAGATTTTGAGAAAATTTATATTTTCTTCTTTGAAAAATATTTTTATTAGCACAGGTAGTTTATTAGTATACAAATAAATATGTTATTAATACTCATCGAAAATATTTGAATTGTTTAGATATTTTTTCCTTGTATAATTTGTTGAACGTATGTTCAGTTTCATGCGAAAGACAGTTCTCGTTACATTGTTCGTATTTTGTGTGCTTCCTAAAACGCGTGACTCGCTAAGCACATAATTAAGGTGGTACATGCACAAAATGAATTATCCAAGAATTCGTTGAAATTTACACTATATATAAATTTAAATATTATCTAATTATTAGTACAATTAGAAACAGATTGACCATGCGAAAACTGAAATAACGAAAGTCAAAGTTAGCACTTTTAACGTATATCGCATTACGAAAATGGCTCCCGATGAAATATTTCTAATTCTGATGATCAAACTACATCCAAGAGTTTTATGAAAAATTACAATAATATTCAAGACTAATGTACGGATATAATATAAAAATATCAAAATTTTTGACCACGTAATTTTAAAGATATCGACGTCTAAATATTACAATCTAGTATTATTATTAGTAAGTACGAAAAGTTAAGGCGTGAAGTGTGGCAACAGCGCATGTGTTAGTGTACGTTCGTTGGGGTGCGTCACTGTTTATATGTATGGTGTGTAGTAGGGACAGTTTCAGTCAAAATCAATTGGTTGCGCACGTAACCAAAGAGGAACCTTTTCTTTCTACTGTAGGACTGACAACTTCTTGATAGTACTGTCGCACTAGTACTACTTTAAGACGATATCTTGTACTCGATAGATCCTTTAGCTCAAATATCTCTTTTCACACGAATAATTTTGATCTTCTTCACTCTCGTTCAAGCAGATACCACGATGGACGCCGAGGCAGCGTTGTTGGAGAACTCGCCAACCTTGTCGACGATCTCGTCGGATTCCACGGACGCGACGTATTCGGAACCGGGCTCGCCCTATTCCCCGGAGTCGCCGATAATTGTCACATCCTCCTATAAAAAAAAGCGCGACGATGAGGTCACACCCAGACCAACGCCCAGACACCCACTACCAACCAGGAAGCCGAGCTTCCGGATACGACCGCCCTACCTCATGATCTGCATCAGCATCATCGAGGTGAGCGAACATAAAAAGCAGTTACGCAACTGCACGAAATTACGCATCATCAATGCATCGTGCACACGCAATGCGCTCTTCTCTCGCGACGGCATCTTTCGACGAATAACAATCTAGTAATTATACGGAGAGAATTTTACAGTAGAAAGTTACACTACAGTAAGGATGGACTAAAAAATAGACGCGAACAACAAAAATATAAATAATTGCAATCTTTAATTTTCTGTTTTCATATACGGAGAAAATATTAATAGTTAATATATAACATAATATTATAATATATAATATATAATATATAATATATATATATATAACATAATATTATAATGTATAATATATATATATATATATATATATATATATATATATATATATTATATATTATATATTATAATATTATGTTATATATTAACTATTAATATTTTCTCTGTATATATATATATATATATATATATAATATTATAATATATAATATATATATATATATATATATATATATATAACATAATATATAACAGTTTTCGTATTCTTTTCAATTTTACTGTGTTTCTAGTGGCGCAGGAACAGACTGTAAGATCTATCTTGCTGAGAAATACAGCAAATTTTGCTAGAAACATTGCAAACACTTTTAATGACACGTTTTAATATAATATCAATTGCGACAGTAAAAATAGAATTTGCAACCGAGGAGTGGATCGACAGTAATTCTGCAATAATTAATTGTCCTTTCGTTTTATATGTGCTGTTTGCATTTTAGAACGTATCATTAAAAATGTTTGCTACGTTTCTAGCGAAATTTGCTGTATTCTTCAACAAGACAGATCTTACAGTCTATTCTTGCGCTACTAGAAACAGTACAATTGAAAAGAATATGAAAAGAAAATTGTAATATTCTCTCCGAATATAAAAACAGAAAATTAAAGATTGCAATTAATGTTAAAACACTTTTACAACAAATATTTCGTATTGACAAGGATGGAATCGCGGAGAGAAGAGCGATTAAATGGAAACGGTTGGCTGTCTCGTCGCGATATCGAATCTTCTTCAATTTTTAATTTACGACAGCAATTTCCTAGTTTGCAATAGCAATTTGCCCGTGTTAACTATTTTAAGGCTTGCTTCATGCCTCCTTTATCGCGAGTTCTTTTGCGTATTCTCTCTCTCTCTCTCTCTCTCTCTCTCTCTCTCTCTCTCTCTC